TCTAATCGTTGCCTGTAAATACTTAGTAAATTTTCCAGTATTCATTCATTTATATTTTCGGTATCGAACCTTGCTTTTAACTTTATACTATGGGAATAAATGCAGCATTAAAACCATTCGAATATAAATATGGAAAAGTTCATATATTTCGTTGTCCGCGAATAATTAATAGAATGTATGTTGACGGCTGATTAAGAAGTATGGAAGAATTATTATATTTGATAAATTTTGCATTCAGAATGATAGCATTGTGAATGAAATTGAATTGAAAAATAATATTAATGAAAAATGCTTAAAAATCCACTTTAAGCCTTGCACTCTGAGTTGCCCAGAAGGCGAAAGGTAAGGGATTCGGGTCCCATCTCAGAGTGCCAGGGACAAAGTGATTTTCTTAAGCATTTGTCATTAAGAATAAGTAAAGAAGCAATTTATTCTACATATCGAGCGGATTTATAATAAAAAAGAAGAGTACGAAATCATGATTGAACCAATGATAACGATGATTTGTAGACTCGCAGTTGTATCGCGTTTTTTCTACTTTCATAATTCATATCTGAACCATTGGGCCGTTAGACCATAAAAAGAAACGTAGAGAATATTCAAGCAAAAGAAGTTCATTAAAAACCTGATCAAATAAAATATTAACTTACCACAAACATAAAGTGAATAAAGTTACGTCATATGGCACGTGTTATGTGATATAACTGGATTCCAGGTTCATAAAAACAAGTTGAAATTATTATTTACTTAAAATATTAAGTAATCTAGAAAGAATACTCCAATCCTTAGCAAAGTAGTTAAAAATCTTGTGCAACAATAATGACCAAATACCAGAATCGTCCAGACCCGAAGCGTTATAGAAAGTACACATCTACCAAAATATTTCTGTCGAGCAAACAAAAAGGAGTATCGAGGCTTGCATTAGGGTATACATAGCTGATATTTTGGCTCACTGACGCTGGTCAACAGGAACTGCACGCAGAGTGCCGGCGAATTGGGCGATGTCGATAAACGACCGACGAATAAAAACGAGCCACAGCAATTTAAGGTCCAATATAATTCTGCAGCTTGTTAAAAAGAATTAGGAAGATCTACTGTGCAAAGTTTAATGAACCACAAATTCTCAATATATAGCTGCGAACCAGTTTACGCTTTTCATTTGTTCTTTATATTTCCGGGTCTACTCTATATTTCTGTACTATTATTATAAAGAGGAAAGATATGTCTACACATGTACCTACATTTATTCTGAACCACATTTAATAACTGAAGCTCACAGAGCAGGCAGTGTAGGCAGGTGATAGGTCAAATACCAGTGGTATATAACGTAAAGCTTGGCATTTGCAACCCCCGCGGCCAGGTGCCAGCGGTCGCTCATTAGCCGATTAAATTTACTAGGGTGCAGTGTTTAGTTGGACAGGTGGAAAATGGCTTTTATTTATAAAATAAACAGTTAATTTCATTAACTGTCGAGTATTTGAAAAATTCAAGTCTCAAGTAACTTGCGAGGAATAAATATAAAATATTAATATCTTAAATTTAAAATTAAGAAATTATGATGGAAAAGTAACATTTTTATATTTCATAAATAAATTTTTATTTTAAAATACTTCATGAGAGAAGTTTTGGCAAAATTTTATATGATCAATTATCCTTATATGATAAGTAATTTATTTGACAACTATGGAAGTATTTAAGTCTTTCCAACTGAAGGTTGAGCTCAATAGTGTCCAATTTAAAAAGGTTCGCGTCTGCAAACGACCTCTCTATAATGCACAGGATAGCACAGGTCATTGCATCTCCTTGACCTCAAGCCTCCTTGTTTATTACGGCTTGTTCAATTCTAGAACAAACTGACTACATTTTGATTTAGATTCTCCATGATCTGAGGTAAGTAAAGGAATTTGGATTTATATCTTTGTATTTAAAGGCCATAAAATATATAAAAATTTAGCTTTAATAACTTCTTATTAAAATATCTGTTTATTTGTTTGTATAAATGGATAAACTCAAAAACAACTGGGTCAATTTTAAATATTCTTTCACCTAACAAGAAGGGCGCGGGGTCATCTACTAATTAATTATTTGATAGTTATATAATGTAACTTAGTATTTCAACATCAAGTAACATAAAAATAATATTTAATTGAAATAGACACTAGTGAGTGAAGTTGAAGTGAGAATTGTATTGTACTTTGAGTACTTTCTTCAGACAAACTCACCTCGAGAGTTGACTGGGTAGTCGATATAAATTACTAATGTCTTTTTTAATTAATTGTTCCTTGACGTTTTGTGTTACCTAACTATCGCATTTTAGATATTTAATATCACATCCTCATCGCTGTCAATAATTATTTAAGAAATTACAAAATCAGTAACAGGAACGTATTTCCCAATTTATTTTTAGATAAAATAGGATGTGTCCCCATGGAGGAATCCAATCTCTTATTATTCGCATGACCTCTGATTGATGAAGCCTCATTAATTTCTACAAGATTACTAGAAAAACGACAATTTAAATGATATATAGAGTTAAAATCTTTAAAGTTAATTAATTTCTAGAATTATCATCTATAAATAAACTTCTATCTTGATGTTAGTCTTGATTTTGCTTAGACTTCAAAGAAATAATATGTATTAAAATGACACGCTGATAGAAATTTAAATGTAGTTATCTGGTAGTGAAAATCCTTTGCTTAAATTTTAATAAACATATCTAAATTTATTTAGATAGTTGTTCTAATAAAGATTACATACAATATTTGTTTTTACAATTGTAGTAATTAGATGCAACTAAAAATTATAAGCAGGCATCTTATCTAAGATTAAGTGTCAGTACATTAAAAATATCATCTAAATATATTTACAATTAACTCTTCAATGGTTTAAAAATAAATAAGAAGCATAATAAGAATAAGAATGCTTTATTCTAGTGATATTTTTCTTTAAATTCATGTTTTTTTTTTATTACAATATTGTAACGATTTTGTGGGGCTAATTTAAAGATATAATTTATGTAACATATATATAAAGATATGTGATAGATAACAACAAATCATCAATCATTGGCGAACATGTGATCAAGTTTCAGAAATTCTTGTCCTATGGGAATCATGTCAAGTAAATGTTATATAAATAAATATTATATCTCGGCGTTACCAGATGGCAGTAGAGCATATGTTACTTATGATACAAATGAAATATAAGCAAATAATTTGAACGAAAAATATTGTAATTATTATAAAAACTCAAAATCTCTCGACTTTTAAAGCAAGCGGACGCTCAAATACTTTTTGCTTTTTATTTTGTTAACTTTAAGATTACTTGATATTATATATATTAGACAACAAAACAGATATTGCTCAAATTCCAAGATGAGTAGCTAAAGCCCCGTATTATGGAGTATCTGAGAATAGAACCCGGGAGTATCTGAGAATACAAATAAAGTTGATACAAAGTGACCAACCAAATTATACACATTAAATTTTATACTGTATCATCAATGTACCGTGCCTACAATGATGTATTGTGCTGTATTAAATAAAATGAATAGGTAAATATAAAAGTATCGGTATATAAAGTATACAGTATACAAAGTAAATATTAGTCGTGGTGATGTAATGTAAGTAAAATACCTAAAGTTACCATAAATACAATAATATCATAACCATGAATAAATTAAAATTAAACACGAGAACTGGCTTATGCTCTAGTGTTTTCATATTCAAACCAGGAAGATAAGTTTGTTTGCTTATGTTTGTATTTGTTGTATATTTTTATCTTATCATTATGTAATTAAACCTCCTTGCAAATAGTATAAATGGATATTCTTAGTGTTTCTTTCTTTTTATCTTACGCCATAGATTTTTTTTGCATTTAGAATTTGCATCAAATAGACGTATGTTCGTGTCTCTGTATAAAGCTCTTTTCTTTTTTTTTTTTTCAAAAAAGAGTCCGGTAAATATAAAAACTCATTTTAACTAAGAGAAGCGTATTTTTTTGGCCGGTGGCTAGTGGTAGTCTTACTGCAAGTAAGTAAGTTCTATAGGTATATCGGGAACATAAAAATGGTGGAACAATGTGAAAGCCAAGATCTTTATTAAAATCTTATTATCGTATGGTCACCCATCCGATAATCTTTTTGAAAGTTGTCTAACCTCCTTGATCGTGATATCGTCACCAACAGCTTCTTTAATCAATATATCATCTTTATTATAATTGCATAATCGATAATTAACATTCTTGTTAAATGTTATTTTTTACCAATTAATATCTGTATGCTACATCCCACATCTATTATATAACGTATCCTATCATTCATACAGATTTTGAAAATATTCGTTTACCTTGGCTTAAATGCATTTAGCATTATGTACAAGAAATCATTGTATCTACTTACGATGCGGAAATCTGCAAATTTGTAAATCAACGAGATGATAATCAACCATATTACGTAGTATTATCACATTTTCGTGCAATGAATAAATAATTATAATGAATAATTGATCGATTGGTTTCTTCGCGTTATAAATTAAAATAGCGAAATTAACTATTCTCTGTCTATAAAATAATCTGTTATGTAACGTTCTCGCAAACTTGTTTTGAATTTTTATTTTACTAAAATCTGGTTTGCTTTGTGTTTTTCTTACATCGAATTTAAGACTATGACTTGTTTATAAAACGAATAGTCTATATTCGCATAGAATATTAATTCAACCAATTCTGGGCAACTCTTGGAATTGTAAATATACGCTCATAATACTAATGAAATAAAAAGATCTAAAAATTCGATGACAGAAACAGAAGTATAACTAAGCAAATGCCATAAAATAATTATATACGGTTCTATATATTAAAAAAAAAAATCTATATTTGGTCAGGTGTTAAAAGTTAGTGATGTTAATATGAATAAGAAAAACGAAGTTTACGACATCATTGTGAATAATATGAATAATATACTTTTAAAGGACAAGATTTAAAATTCATACTCTACCACTCACCGGATTTTCTTTTCTCGTTGACTAGTACCAGCGACTTAGTCCTCTTCACTCTCAAGGATCTCCTTCTGATAGATCTCAACAAAGCTTCGGGCATCCTCGAAAACCTTGGCGAGTCCACCCGTTTCTCGGGCATAAAGAAATTTTTCACAGCCAACATTTTCAGGATTTCCACCTCCGATTAATCTTTTGATTCAGCTAATATTTCATCATTGTACTTTAAGGACTCAAGTTTTTAACCATTGTTAGAAACAGAATTAGTAATCTTCATATTCCATTTGCTCTCAGATTCCAATCCACTATCACATTCATCCAATTCACCAGCACAAAAACTACGTCCGAGTATTTTCACGGTTCATTTGACATCACAAGGCTAAAATTCACTGAATAGTATAACCTCCACGACACTATTGTCTAACGTCACCTTTTAAATCACTATTGTTCTATGATCATAAATTCTGAGCATGAGGTGTTATCCTGTTACCTTATTCGATTTGTACAATCGAAAGGAAAGAGATAAGCGGAGCGCGACACGCACGTCCGACCCCGATGGAGGCGCGTAGAGTACTAAATTGGCCGGCTGAGATCGAGCGAGTTTCCAATGATTTCTTGTCGTGATATCTGTTATCAGGGTTTACCTAGCCGTGCATAATCAGAGGCCAAATTAACGGTATCAAGGTTGGCTATGTACGAAATGGATTTATTTTTATGGGATAATGAATAATTAATTTTTTGATGCGTTGACGGTTTGATACGGCAGCGCCGCTAACATTCCTTTTTTATTTCTTAATAAAATGATTTAGTAAGATAATCGGTGACACATTCTAGTGCATATGCTTTCAACAGTCAAGAGCAGTATATTAATTAATCAACAACAGTGAAGAGAATTTGGTCAAACGTTTGTCCCACTGCCGCCGCCTTTAAATAAAAAGGAACGAAAAATGAGTCTTTTATTAAACTTGTCCTTCTAAATGAATGTTTATTAGTGGTGATAAAAAATGATGTGAGTTACATATATAAGTCTTTAAAGTATTCAATTGTTATATTAATTTTGGTTTAGAAAACTTGTCATAGTGGATGTTATCTAACAGAATCATAATTAATAAAAGACTTCATTAGGCTCGTTTGATTTATCTCGATAAGGGACTTTCATCCAAGATAATATCAGAGAAAAGCTTGTTTTGTCAGAAAAAATCTCGAAAGACCTAAAACTATCAGTAATGTTAGGAAAGATATGATCGTTTTTTGTTTGCAATGAATAGGCTAAAAACTACTGGACTTATTTTAAAAAAAAGAACATCTAGGGAAGCTTAACTATAAGCTAGTGAAATAAGCTATAATGAACAGAATATTATTTAACATTATTTTTGAATTATTAATTTGCAATTTTTGGATAGTTTGGAGCGCATCATTCAACAGAACAATCACGGTAACAAGGTCTACTAACAATGTCGCTTTCTCAATACAAACTAAGTTACACTATGAGACGAATCCGGTATTGCTGCTCCGCTGATAGCATCAGGCTGCGCTTCTTGACTAACTGCGCACATTAACCCAGGATCATCTGTGTCTCGTACACTGAGAATAAAGCCAATACAGCGCTGCAAGCATTTCCTTATGAAAATATTTGTGTTCCAATTTGGTCTATATTTATGTTTATTTATCGAACCAGTTTCATGGTATCGCCGTCTCTGAGGGTCAAGGGCTCGATTTCAAGGGCAGGTCATATTAGAAATTGACTTGTCTATAATATCTCGAGTTAGTTTCAGATACATAATACGAGTGCTTTAACTACACATCTTGGATTTAGCAATATATGTGATTTTGTCTATTTAATTAGCTAAAAATGATTTATTCTAACTTTTATAGTATTATGTTCCTAATAAACCCAGTGGTGATTTGTTATGGCCGTTTCCGTAGCAACTTCGGTATAAAAAGCGTACCCAAAGGTCTAAAATTGTGTAAAATTTCCAATTAGGTAACCTAACAACTGTTTGTCCAATTTGAAAATGATGACGATTCTACTCACTACATCTCAATTATCGCCAGTTGACTTAACAATTTCATTGAAATGAAATGAAAATTTATATATGAAATGAAAATTTATTTAAAGATATTAAAAAATATAAAAATGACAAACATGGTAGAAACATGATGTTTATTTTATCAATATTGTTATAAGTAATAATTTTCATATTTATCATGATAATACGTTATCACGATTATTGACTAATTGGAGTTACACAAAAAAAAATGAAACAGCTAAATCTAGCGCTTAACCGCTTTATTTCATAAATCTCTCCAGAGTCGTGCAAATTCATATCGCTTCATCGTAATAACAGTATGTCGTGTTTTACATTCTGCATTACAGCCATATAACCAAAACGGAACTATCAAAAGGAAATTTATGGGTGCCCATAGATCAAAATATATTGGACACGTACACAAACACTGCATAACGTTTTTTTTCTATGTCATATTTATTAATAGATTATCATCATTACCAGATAAAAAACTAGTATGACAAAAAATATATGATCGTAAAATGACATAGCAATATGAGTAAGGCCTATAATAATGTGATATTAGTGCAATAATACGACCACGACGTTAGTAAATCGCAAAATTATTTAAATATGAGATAAATGTACGTACAGCAATTGACTAATGAAAAATAGAAATTCTAAATTGTTTTTTACATATCTAATCGTATCGAATATAGACATCGCTGTCTATATTTCATACATTTAATAGTTTAAAGTCTTATGTGTAGTGATCAATTTCAAATTTCAGTAACTGGTTGGTTTAAATATATATTTTTTCTAATAAAGTTCATTTATCTATTAAAAGGTTAACTAAAAGGAAATCCGACTAATCAAAAGCAGCATCAGAATCTCGAATGTCAGACTTAACTGCGGACCATAATCTTAACGGACTTTGGGACTTTAATTTTCGCTAAGCAGTGCTTCATCAAAGAGGAGTTCAAAACAATTCTTCAAAGCGCCCACTGAATTAATTGGTAAAGTCATATTACTAAAGAACAAAGACATAATAATAATAATAGGCTTGCCGTGAAGTTCAAGAGTTAAGGGTAAAGGTGAGCTGTTGAAATTGAAACTTATTTATATAATAAAGCAAAGAACAAAGCTAATGGTTTCATTAGATAATTAGAAGGAACATTGAAATATTACAAACGTTGAATTTAATCTAACTCATATTAAAATGTAACAGAGGTCTGAAAATCTAATTTAAGTTCATTTACCATTTATTTTGCTATTGCATTCAATCAAATAATAATCGCTCTCCTATTTCAAGCTACGGAATGTACCTGGACTGGAGGAATGGACCTGTTTTGTCATGCTTAAAAGGAATCATATTCTAGATACATATCAATTATCGCATATCATTCGTACAAAGATCTTTACAAGCAAGGGGTAATTATATCTTTCTCTTTCACACGATTCTAGTTTATCGATATAAAAATAAACCTACCTGATATCCTTGTTGCCTACGCACCTGTCCACCTACTCTATAAACAAATGGGACTATAATGATAACCTCCTCCCTCTTACACTATAGGGAAGTAGATAAGGATGAAAGATTGACATCTAATTTAAGCGACATAGGACCTAGAATAAAACCTTGTAGTCTCCGTGTAGGCTGAAGCAAGTTTGTGGAAAGAGTAATGTTGACGTTTAACCAATTTGCCTTGGACCCATTTGTATAAGAATTATTCTAAGCTGATAACTTTGTTAAATATTAGATTTAAGCAAATAGTAACCAACCCGTTTTGTTAATACTAAAATACACGGTAAAAAATACACATTTATATCTGAGAGTGCATATTATTTAAATGGTATTTTCCAAATCTTGACTCCCATAAAGTATTTAAAACATGAAACGCCTTCTATTACAAAGTGTAGCTTCTAATCCTTTGAAGATGGTGTAAACTAAATTTGTATTGTCTGTTGTTTGAAGAATTTGATAAAATATTATAAAATAATAAAGGAGTTACCAAATAAGGTGAACTAAACACAAACAAAATCCGCTCAGCTTTGATCGTACGTTGTGTATCAGTCAATTACCTGTAAAAGAAAATACACTGCGTTAAAAGACTATTAAAATAGCCGCATAGTAATAAAAATCTAAAAACTGCTATCAAATGAGGTTACGGTATAATAAAACCAGGATGGAGATACATAATACCCTCCTAAATATCTTAAAAAACCATCAGATTTCTATAAAAGTCTAGTTAGGTAAGTTGTTACAATAGATATTTTACGACTGCATCCCTGAATGAAAGATTTTACGATCTCATACTGACAGGACAACATGAATATAAATGTCGATAAACTTGCAATCGGATTTGAGGAAGCGTTGGACGATATAACACTCTATAGGGTGAAAATAATTTGAACGTTATTTTTCATGACGTAATGGATAGATTGGAATATTTGGCCCTTTGTGACAGGAAAGCATTAAGCAGAATAACATAAAGAGGTCGCTTCGATCGTGAGAACAAAAAAAAATGGATAAGTAATTTCATGGTGTCCACTGAAAGCAGGTCCCGAAGTTTGAACATCAGTAAAGTGTCAGGAAGTCAGTTACCTCTGGTTTAGCTATAGTGATGCGATCTTAATGATAGTTATGCGGTAGAGGTGTGGTAGAGCTTAGATTATGTTGACAACTTCATTTGGTAGGAATTTTTGACATTATCATGGTATTATTATATTTAATCTATTTTACGTTCACAAAATTGAAACTGGAAAATATTTTTCAATAAAAAAATTTAAAAATTTGTATTATATATTGATTTAAGTTGGATACTATTCATTGGAAAATATTGTTAATGAACAATTTTAAAGCATTTTTTTCACAAATATATTCCAGTATAGCTTATGAATGTAAATCGATCATATATAATAATTAGAACAAATTTTCATTTTCATTGAAAGTTTCAAAAATATTTGTAAAAATACAATAATGGTTTGCTTGAACATTGATGAAAAGACTCTCTGTAGTAGCGAAAAATGTAGCAAGTGCAAGTTGGAAAATTCGTCAGTCCTGTTAGGTCCTGGGTAGCACAGCGGTTAGAGAAGTCGTCCAGATTGCGAAAACTTGGAATCACATCTTAGAGTACCAGGGACAAAGTGGATTTTT